CATGTCCAGGCTATAAGATAGTCACGTATCATTTCTTTGGGTGTTTGTACAGTGGGAGCTGTTGAATGTTGTGGTTATTCTCATGGATGACGTACAGATGTGTGTGCATAGGTCCAATTTTGACTTTTTCCAAATAGTCATTCATTTGTTCACATACCAATTATTTTTAAAATTTCCTCTTCGAGCCAGTGTCTTGAGGTTCCTCCTGTCATGCAATAGATTTACATACGCTCTTGGGTATATTTCCGGTCTTTCTACTCTACTTCACTCGATTCTCCATTCACATAATATTAAAGTACCGTTTACATTTTTGGGGGTTTTTTTTAGTATGATTTCACTTCTGGTAGTACTCATTTCCCCAAAACTCTATGTTTTTTCCAGAGTTTTCCTAACTAATCTTGAATATGTATATATTTTTTAATCTTGAATATTTTTGTTTACATATCTTTCAACTTGTTCAGTTCAAGAAAAAAACGCATGATTTTTGCGGTAATAACATTAAATTTAAAAAAGTACAAAGAGAGAACTGACGTTTTAATGACATTTAGAGTCGTCAGATCCAAGAACAAGGAGCATCTTTACGATTATTCGAGGCTACTTTCACATCTCTCAGGAGTGTATTGAAATTTCCTCCTTTAATGCCACAACTAGAAGGACCCGCAACTAAGGTATACAACTATGTACCAGGGGGGATTGGGGGAGATAAAGCAGGAAAAAAAAAAAAAGGATTGGCCACAGTTGTTAAAAAAGAACAAACAGAAATTTCCTCCTTTAGATTTCTGCATACTTTTGGTCAGATTTATTTTTAAGTGTTAGCTGTCTTGTCCCCATTTGTAAGTGAGATTTTCTCTCCCCTCATGCTCTAGTTGGCCGTCGCTTGTACGTGAATTGGCTATTGATTTCCATTTTAATCTTATATTCTACCAGCTCCTTGAAGGATTTGATCGGTTTTGCTGGCCTTCACACGGATCCTCTCGGGTTCTTGAGATAAGCTATCAAATTAGCTGCAAACGGAGACTGTACTTTTCCCAATGCTCCTCTCCCTAATTGTCTTCTCTCGTTCACTTTCATTTGCTCGTGTCTCCTGTACAGCATTGAAAGCAGTGACGACAGGGGCCGTCCTTCGTCAGGCCCGGCAGGGCCGCACCCGGTGCCTCCCCCAGCGAAGGGCCTGGCTGCACGGCCGATACACACACAGCCATGTTCTTGTATAATATGCTAGTGAATTTGCTCTCCTAATATCTTATTTGATTTAAGATCGTTGCACTGATACACAAAAATGCTACAATTTCCTTTTTTCTGTCATTATCGTCAGGTTTAGCTATCAATGTGTACTTGCTTTGTAAAAGGAACTTGCAAGTTTCACTTCTTGGATCCAATGTGGCACACCGTGTTTTCATGAGGAAATACTTCGTTTCGTCTGAATTTTCAAACTGACTCCACACAGGTATGCAAGGGGTCTCTTGTGAGAATTCCATCAACTTTACTGAAGTGTGATTTACATACAATAAAAGCATCCCTTTTTTAAGTGGACAGTTCAATGAGTTTTGACAAATTTATACACCCCTAAACCACCACCACACTTAGGATACAGAACACCCGCCTGGACGCCGTCAACGCCCCGGGGCCTCCTTGCGCGGCCCCCAGGACTCTGCATTCACCCTCTAGTTCCCACCCCTGAACTGTGCACCCGCCTCGCCAGAACGTCCCCCTCATCCACGCAGCTTATCTGTATTTCCTTCTTGCTCATTCGCGATCTCAATGCCGCCACCCTTCTGTGAGTCTGTCGGCTTTGTGGATCTTCTCTGTGTGATTTTGGTTTACTGTTTCACTAAACAATATTTTCAGTGTAATTTTGGTTCTTTTGGTTTGATCTGCTTTCTCCAGGTTCCAGATTTAAACACAAAGCTTGCTAATTCTCAATCCCTCTTCTCTTCTAACGTGAGGTTTTAGTCTATCCGTTTTCCTCACAGTGCCACTTTTATTTTAAAATAAAAGTTTGTACTAATTTTCCACTACTGTTCAGTTCAAGGAGTTTAAAAAATTCTCAGAATTTCTTCTTCAATAGATGAACAATCAAAATGTAACAATTTAATTTCCAAATATTTGGGATTTTAAAGTTTATCTTCTTTGTTATAAACATTTAATTTCAATTGATACGGTCAGGGAACATGGCCCCTGGGATAATTTACTGCTAAATGATATGAATGATAAAAATCTGGACATTTAGAACAAAATGAGAGCACTGGACTGCCCTGTTCAAGGTCCAGCAGAACGGGCTGGGGTGGCCGGTGCGCTCAGAGGGCGGGGCAGGGGGAGGAACAGAAACCATGGAGACACTGGGCCATCTGACTCTCCTGCGGAGAGCTAACCGTTAACTGTGGCAGTAACGGGGACCTGTCTGATTCGCCATCTGTACCAGGGACTCGGCAGTCTGGAGAACGGAGTGTTGGGTGTGTTTTCGAGGACAGGGGCAGTGGAGCCCTACAGGGGATGCCCCCACGGCCAGCTGTTCCTTGCTACATCATCACAACCCCACGTGCTGCCGTCTGGCTGCTCTCCAAGTGCCCCCGAGAGCCTCATCCTCACGTGGGGGTCTGCGTAGGGACCCCCAGCTCTGTCAGGGGATGGGGACCTGAGACAGGAAGAGGGCAGGAGTTTTTCCCCAGGTTTAGCCCTGCACACAGAACCAACAGAGGTCAAGAAAGGCAGAAATTATGGATGCTGAGTCACCAGATCCATTTTGTAGTTGAAGAGTTAAGGCAGCAAGACACAGGAGAATTGGAAACACACTGTCATGGGGAGGTGAGGCAGAAGAAGGGCAAGGCTGGGCGTGACCCAGAATGGATGCGGAGCTGACAGATGCGACCATCTCTGTGAACTTAGACCCTCGCTGGGGGCGGGGCTTGTGGCCGGATCTGAGGTTCCTAGCAGTGAATGTAAAAAAGAACCCAACCCCAAAGAATCACCCCAAACTCCTGGAACCAATGAATGTGTGTAGCAATGCCCGCTGCAGGATCACACCCAGCGTTCACTGCCGCCCCGTGGCTTCCATGTGTTGCTCATGGGGAAGGAGGAGGGCCGAAGTGTCCAGGAGGGGTTGGGACAGTGACCTGGCATTGTGTTAGGTCAGAGGGACTTGAGGAAGCTGAGTGGTTGGGTGAGAAACAGAGGGCCCCACTAGGGGTGGGCTCCATCTTCCTCATTGTCCTTGATCGTCCCTTCTTTTTTTTTGAGGAAGATTAGACCTGAGCTAACATCTGCTGCCAATCCTCCTCTTTTTTGCTGAGGAAGACTGGCCCTGAGCTAACATCTGTGCCCATCTTCCTCTGTTTTATGTGGGATGCCGGCCACAGCATGGCTTGACAAGTGGTGCATAGGTCTGCACCCAGGAACCGAACCGGTGAACCCTGGGCTGCCAAATCGGAACATGAGAACTTAACCACTGTGCCACCAGGCTGGCCCCATTGATGGTCCCTTCTGTGGTCACTCAGCACCACATGCTCAGCCCTCATTAAGCTTTTATTCATTGCTCAAGAATGCCTATCTCATTAGAGTCTGGACCATTTGGTTATCACTCATCTCCATCCTCCCCTCGCTTCTTCTTCATTTACTCACTTATCCGTTTATTCAGCAGTTCCTGATTTCCAGCTGACAGGCTGTCCTGAAGAGCCTGCAATCCTGGTGTCCTGTCCAGAGGGAGGACCAGGATTCCCAGCTCCAAAAGGGTCCTTTTCATGGAGAGGGAAGCAGAGAGCAGCTGCTGCAGCGGGCCATGGGGAGACAGGGTGTGATGGCCCTGACGCAGCACGGGTACCACCCAGACCACACACACATCCTTCCTGGGAAGGCGCAGCTCCTAGGCAAGACTCCTGATTCCCGTGCAAACACCACGTGGTCATCTCGCCTCAGCAGAGCCTTGCCGGCTGGCCGAAGCTCAGGGAATCAGAGCTTCCTGATGCCCCAGTGTGCCAGGGACCCTGTCTGGGGAGATGGGAGCAGTAGATGGGGACAGGCCTGCCCGGCCAGCCCAGGGGCCTGGATGGGGTTTAAATTCAGCGTGAAAATTTACAACCGCAGTGAAGGGGAGAGAGGTCCCACTCCAGGATGGGAATTCTGGGACTCTCACGGGTGAGCTCCTGGCGACTCCAGGGGTCTCCTTGGCACAGAGGGGTGCCAAGGTCCAGTGTCATCCTGAACCCACAAAAGCCCTGGAGCAACAAGGCCTCCCGCAGTCCATGGGGAAATGATGAGGAGATGGAGACCGGGGACGGGAGTAAGATGAGGGGACACTACGCAGCCCCTAGGTGGGCAGGCCTGAGGAGCCAGGAGTGGGGAACAGGTGTGGACCCGGCACTGGCCCGCGTTCTGGGGGATGTGCTGCCTGACGATGCTGCCCCCACCCACAGACTTCCCTCCTTGTCCCCAAGGCCCAGGGTCCCACTCTTGGCCCCCATCCTCCAGGAAGTCCCCCTGGATGGCCTGTGGGTGCCCCAGTTCAGCCTGGACAGCCCTGAGCTGGTTGTCAGTTCCGCCGGTCCCAACCTGTACCCCTCACCTGGGTGACCTCCCTCAGGCCAGGCACAGGGCTGTCCTGGGTGCCTCCAGCCCTTCCCTGCCCATTGGGCCTCACCTCCTCCAACTGAGCTGCCAAACAAACACCAGTCCCCTCGGCCTCACTGCCAAGTTGTCCCCTTCCAGCATCTCCCACATGCCACTGGCCTAGACAGGCAGCTCCGAACTCTGTCATGTGCCCCGACCCTGACCTGCCAGTCCCTCTCTCCCACCTCCACACAGTGGCCAGCTGGCCCTGCTGAGGACCCGGACTTGAGACTGTGACTCCTGCTTACCCTGCGCTGGTCCCAGGACGCAGGGGCCATCCCTGAGATTGCCTGGCCATGGCCCAGATGGACAGTTTTGTCCAGAGTCTACTGAGAGCTGGGCTGGAGGGACACAGTCTGGGCACGGTGAGTGGAGGTCGAGGAAGGAACAGGCAGGAGGCGGAGCAAAGAGTTTATTGTCTCTGGAAGGAGTGAGGGTCATGGTCTCACACCAGTGGACACCTGCAGCGTGACTCTGCCTGGGCCCCATGGATGGAGGTGGCTGAGAGAGTGGAGGGGGCTGCCCAAGGTCACAGAGCAAGCTGGAGCCAGAGCGAGGGCAGGAGCCACCCTCTGCATGCCTGGACTCTTCCTGCCCCTCACAGGGCATTGAACAGCCCATTCAGGGCAAGGGACCTGACACAGTTTGCTGTCACCCCAAACTGGGAAACACCTGTCTCTTGCCAGGGCAGCTGAGGCTCAGCTTGGGCTGTGTGAGCAAAGCGCCCTTGCCAAGGATGAGAGAGGTGGCCAGGTCCTAGGTGGAGGCAAAGGCACCTTTCGCACCCCCTCAGAGAGGGAATGTCCACCCCAGTGTCTCCAAGGATGGAGCCAGGACAGAGGTGGGAGGTGGGAGGATGGGGGGGCCTGCAGGCTTGGGAAAAGGTGCTCACAGCAGGGCCCAGAGGAGGCTGAGGCCCACCTGGAGCAGAAACCCCATCTGCAGAGCCCAGGGCCTCCCCTGGGAGGCGAGCGCCCTGTTGCAGAGGTTTCTGGAACAGCACTTCCTGGTGATGCTGTTGACCACCCCAGGATTCAGGACCCACTTAAACATCATGTTGGTGTTGGGGCACCTGGGAGCACAGTGCTTGCTGAGGAAGAACCCCTTCACTGAATCTGCGGAAGAAAGAAGACGGGAGGTGCCCCTGAGGCTCCGGGAGGGAGGACTCTGCTGTTACAAGGACAGGCGGGGGTGGAGGGGGGGGTGGGGGGGGCGGGGGGGGCCGGGTGCTCTTGAGGTGGGCAGCGAATGCCAGAACTAAACCTCAGAATCATGGAACTGTTGGCCCCTCAAGGGCTACAGATACCACCCCTGACCCTTTCACAGGGCTGGCGCTGCAGAGCAGTGGGAGCATGGCTGCCCAAGGTCACCTTCGAGGTCACAACAAAGACAGGGTCTAGGACTGCTGGCCCTGGTGGGGGCTCTTCCCTGAAGCCACCCATGGTCTGGACCACCCTGGCCAGCCCAGGGGCCTGTGAGTCTCTGAGAGACAGGGTGAAGCAGGGCAGAGGGGACAGGGGCTGGGAGCCACAGAGAACCTGTGGGACACTCAGCCTGGGCTTGGCCATCTCCCCACCGTTCACCCAAGGACGTGGCAGAGACCTTCAGAGGAACCCCTGGAGGAATGCAAAACTCAGAACAACCCGAACTGTAGGAGAAAATCCGCTCGTGGGTGGCATCCACCTCTTCTGTTGTATGACGTTGTGTTGCGTGCGTTGTGCAGCACTGTAATTTGTTGCGTTGATTACGTGACGACGTATTCTACGATAATCGTATTCTATGATGTTATGTCCTCTCAAAGGCTACGAAGAATGCTGCTCAGTGGCACATGGCTTAGAAGAGCCTGAAGGTGGGAAAGAGCATGCCTCTTCCTCCAGGAAGCCTCCAGGGCCCAACCTTTAGCAGCTGCCGCCTGTCTGCAGTAGTCAGGGTGGGGATCTCAGGCAAGGTCAGGGCACAAGGGGAGGGACCCCCTGAAGGGAGCCCTCATCACTGCCCACTCCCTGCATGGAGGACCGCCATCACACTCCCTCCAGCTACCGCCTTCCAGGCCCGGAAACTAGAAACACGATGCTCGGGTGGAGCCAAAGATAAAGGCAACCGCGCTGAAAGAACAACAGGACGGGGAGCCTCAGATCGCGTTCAAGCAAAGGCTGACTTGCCCTCCTCATGCGCAAAGTTCTCTATGGCGGCGAGGAGGAGGGGGAGGCCTCCTGAGGGGCACCATGGGAAAGGGTCACCATGGAGATGAGGGTCAGACTGTGGAGGAGGGGCTGGGCCTCCCTCCGTGTACAACGCCACCTTGAAATGTCTTTTTCTGGCCACTCACTCTTCGTCTATTTTGTATGTGGGATGCAGCCACAGCATGGCTTGACAGCGGTGTGTGGGTCAGTGAACGGGTTCCAGGCAGGAACTCCAGGCCACTGAAGTAGAGCGTGCAAACTTAACCACTACGCCACCGGGCCGGTCCTCTTGAAATGTCTTTTTAACCCACCAGAAAGGTAATGGGGAAAGGAACCGATGGGCCACAATGCTGGGGTGAGCTGGGCCTGGTGAGTGGAGCAGTCCTGCATGGGGCACCGTGGCAGACGCCAGTGCCGCAGCAGGGGCCACAGCCTCAAGGGCGCCTGCGTTTCTCACTGGCTCGTCCGCTTTACAGGTTTACCTCCAGGAAGCCCAGTCATGCAACATATATTTTCTTGCATCATTTCTGGAAAATCAGGACCTGAGGTTCATTATAGGGAGCAGATCAAATGAATGATGCTCCAGCCAGGCCCCTAGGACGTGCAGCCACAGAGAGGAGGCAGCTCTGCTGGCGCTGGCAGGTCCCGGGGACCTGGAACCACCTGGCTAGAATCAGCAAACTGTGATTGTGCCTTCTCGGGAGAACAGATGGGTCTCTCCAGCTCCAGCTCTCTCTAGACATCTGTATCATTTCACAGCATCGCTGGAGGTTTGCTGGGTGACATTTCAGTGCGGCTGGGGAATGTGTTCAGGTTTTACTTTATGATCTTCTCTAAGGCTTGTTTTTAAGTGAAGTCTTATCTCTTCAGCCCCACAGTCAGCCACGTGGACGTGGGGCCAGGTGGGCAGCCATGGGACACCAGGTGGCCCAGGTGCAGCCTGCTTGGCTGACCCTCCTCTCCACGGCCACCCCTCTGGCTGTCCTGCCCTCCCTGTAAGTTCAGTGACACCAGAGCTGCTGCCCTGCTGGCTATCCCTAGGGGAGTGACACTTAAGAACCAGAACCTCAACAGGAGGAGAAGGAGCAGCCCAAATTCAGAGTCCGCGGCCATTCCGCCTGGGGTCCAGTGGGAGGAGAGAGCACGAGGTGCTGTCAGAGCGATGGGTCTCAGGGCGCCCCGGCCCCGGCCCAACCCTGCGAAGAGCCCAAGGGTCCAGGGCGGGTCCCAGAGGCTGCGGCACCAGCCCCTTCCCTGGGTGCCCAGGGACTCACCAAGGTTGACGAACACCTCGTTGGAGACGCAGACCTGGTCTGTGGAGTTGCACACGGTGGGCTCGCACGACGCCGGGCTGGAGACTTTGAAGCACTGGTAGCAGCTCAGCTTCAGACCTGTGGGGCGGCCACGGGCCTGGGTGGAGCGGGCTGCGCACCTGACCCGGGCGCGAGGCGCGCCTCTGAAGGCGCGCGTAAGAAATGCGGCGCAAAGAGCCCCAGCGCCCCGCCGGAGCGCCCTGCAGCCCACTAGAGGCGCGGTCTCGCCCAGCTCGCCCCTTACCTGGCTTTGCTGAACCTCCACCAAACTCCGCAGACACCAGCAAAGCCCAGAGGCCTAGAACCAGCCCCTCCATGATGCCAGACGGCTCAGCCTGAGGGGGTGGGGTGGAGCAGAGAAGGAGGCTTCACCCCAGCACATCCCGGACTCCCTGAGCCACAGCTCCCCTCCCCTCGGTGGTCCCGCCTCCCTGGACCCTCCTCATTCCATGCCCTTCAGATCCTGGTTCTCTCGGGACCCTCCTCCCAGCCCCTCCCCTCCGCCAGGCTGCAGGGAGCTGGGCCCTTTGAGAAGAGTCAGCCCGGGACGGGAGGGTGTAGGGGCCTCCCAGCCCCTCCTCAGCAGCTCCTGCTCTGGGCAGGGTCCCCTGGGCTCCCTGAGGACGGCAACCTCAGCCTCTAGCCACCTCCTACTGGAGCAGAAGCAGGGCAGGGACTGCATCTCCCCTGCCCGTCCACCCCCGGGGCAGCCTCAGCCCAGGTCAGCTCTGATGGCCCTTCTCGCCCTGTGACAGACCGTGTGCAGCAGGGCTCCCCCCTACCGTTGGCGCCCTGGGGACTTGGGATCAGGTTGCGTCCCTGCCTCAGGGGCACTCGGATGGCTGAAACAGAGACGTTCCTTCCCTGAGGGGTAGCAGGAAGTGGTCTGATGCTGGAGGTGGAGGAGAGGGCCGGAGGGCTTCAAGGGGGAGGAGGGATCATTGGAGCTGGAGAGCAGGTGATGTGTGGACAATGAGGTGAAGCAAAGGCAGCCCAGTGGGTGAACGTCCTGAGCCAGGCGGCAGCAGGAACCCAGGAAAGTACCGCTCAAGGGCCAAGTGGGGGGAGGAGGAGGGGGGGAGACGAAGGGGGAAGAGGAGGAAGGCGGGGCGGAGGAACAGGGGATCAGGTCACCGCACGACTGTTGAATCTTTTCATTCTTTCTCCAGGGCTTGGAGTGACTTTGAAACCAGCAAGCAGTTAGCCATTGATGATTAAGTAGCTAGGAACTAAAGGTTTTTTTCCTTTTTGCAATTACTGAGTTTTTGCAATTACAGCTTTTAGCTGTTTGACCCGCCCATTGTTAACTGGCCGCTTAGGCAATACGCTGACTCCCACTAGGCTCCTGTGGATGACAGCTCCCTGGAGCCTGGGTCACCGTGGTAATGGGCGTGTGAGCTGTTCTTCAGCAATTAGAACCCCTTTGTCCACTTCAGGCGGGTTGAGACCACCAACCCCATCAACTGGGCCCGCGCAGATGTCCAACAGGCGACATTTTGACATCAAGAGACTAAAAACTCCACCTCAGGTTCCGCTAATGCCACTATTTTGTGGGCATGGGTCCTGTGAAGAGGCGTGGAGTCTGACTGTGCTTGCACAGCTCGACAATTCCCTCACCTCTCCTCACCCCCAATCACCTCTCTCCACATTTCAGACCACCTTGCCCCCCATCCCATAAATGTCCCTGAGTCCCCATTTTCGAGGAAGCGAATCTGAGGCTCATGCTCTCGCTTCCTCACATGGTTGCTTGTGAGTAAACTCTCTCTCTGCTGCAATCTCCTCCTCTGGGTGTTTGGCTTTGCAGCTGGGTGGCAGGCAAAAACGAACCTGGCGCGGTAACAACTTTCCCACTCCCCTGTGTGAGGAGGTGTGGGAGGCCAAGGAGGAGGGAGGAGAGCCTGAGCACCTCTACCCAGGCGGCCTCTTGGCCCTGAGGGACTGCGGGCGTGCTCGTCCCACAGGCCATGGCTCTGTCCACCTCAGGGCACCGGGCTGTGCTGCCTCCAGGACCTGGGAAGGTCTGGGCCCCTGCAGAGCAGCTGGAGCCTGAGAGCCTGGGCTGCACAGGGCCTCACCCTTGTCTGCATGCTGCTCTTCTCCTCAGCTCCGCCCGGGGTCGCATGCAGCTCCTCTCGTCCACTCCACCCAGAACCACACGTGGCTCCTTTCCTTGTGCCCGGGGCTGCCGCCCACTGCAAGGTTGGGTTCCATTTTGGAGACTGACGTCCTCAGCTCCTGCCAGGCTGCCTCCAACGGGGCGTCCTTCTCCCGTGGCTGAATCCCTTGGGACCGTTGACTGTCCCTGTGATGGGCCCACGGGGTCTACCAGGGGGTTTAGATGTGCTTGGGCCCCATGGAGTTTCATTTCCCGAATCTCCCCCACCTCGTAGGGCCGCAGGCAGAGTGTGGGGGCCCTTCCCCTCACAGCGCAGACCCGGACCCCTCCCCACCCAGCTCCTCCGCTCAGCCCCCTCCTTTCTTCTTGTTTTCAGAGCCCACGGGGCTGACACGTTCTCACTGGGCCCTGGTGCCCAGGAACCTGTCCTCAGGGGAACCAGCCTTAAAGAGGAGAATCCAGCAACACTTGTTCCAGCCCAGTGAGGCTCACTCGGGGGAGGCTGGGGCTGTCACAGTGGGTGCAGGGCCCGCTGCAGCGGGCGAGAGCTGGGGCTGGACCCTGAATACAGCAGGGGCAGCGGGGCTGACAGCCAAGGAGCAGTGGGTGCGGGGCGTGGAAAGTACTGAGAGGAAACCTGGGGGCGGTTCCGGGTAAACCAATTTGACAGGATTCTTGCTGAAGGCAGCAGGATGGTCAGACCTCACCTGGGGGGTGGGGGACGAGGAACCGGATCAGATATCCAGGGCTGGGGTTCTCTCTAAAACTGGATTTACAAGGAAGGGCACAGCTGGGCCCCGGAGGAGGTTCCGGAGATGACTAGAGGTTGGTCAGGCACAGATCTTTGTCACCAGACAGCACGCAGCTGACGACGCAGCATGAAGTCCGCGCCCTGAGGGCTGGGGCAGTGGTCCAGGGTGGGGCCTCGCCCCTCTGGGGGTGCCGTCACCCCCTCATGACCTCACCTGGGACCAGTCAGTTCTAAGGGCCCGATCTGCGCCCAGGTGTGGGCAGGAAACACTGCCCTGTCCCCTGACCCTCCCCGTCCCCTGTCCTCCACAGCTGTCCCCAAAGGTGCCCTCAGCTGGGCGTCAGGCGTTTGCATAGCCTTCCGCACTGTATCCCGTCAGTCCAGTCTTCCCCCGGTTCCTTCTTTCTCTGGTCCTTCCTGACTTTGTTTGCTCAGTCACAGCCTTGGAGCACCTGCGATGAGCAGGCAGGGGCGGCCGGATCTGGGCAGGCAGGTGCTGCCACCCGGCCCTGCCCTCAGGGCCCCAGCCAGAGGCAGGTGAGTGGGAAGACAGAAGGTGTGGCTAGTGGTTGGGAAAGGCCGTCCCTGACCCCGCCGTGACTGCTGCCCGCCACCTCCACCAGTGGCCACCAGTCCACCTGGTGATCCAACCAGCAGGACTGTCCCTGCTCCCTGTCTTGCCTGAGGCACGTTCTAGGGATCCGCCTAGCCAGGCACAGCCTCCATGGGGTTGGTGGGCCCGGGGTGTATGGGACTGAAGAGGTTCATTCACTGCATCATGTGTTTCCTCAGCTGTCCATTCATGCTGTCATCATGTTGAACATAAAGCTGGGGCTGTGGAACCCACAAAGCCGACAATCGGAAGGATGGTGGTGCTGGATGCAGGTGTGAGAAAGGGGCCTGGGCGGGGGTGGGGGTAGGTGGCAGGCATGGCTGTCCCAGGAGGAGCGGGGCCGGTTCATCTGGAGCAGGGCTGATCGCACGCTGTCCTGGCCACACAGAGGGGGACGTGCTCAGGTCACACCGCTGTCAGCACCCCCACACAAGAAGTGGCCATCCTCCCAGGTGACCACTCTTTCTCTGGCACTGGGCCAGGGACGTCAGCGGGCACACTGGGCAGCGATCGCTCGACTTCCAGCTGCCCTCCCGGCCTCGTTTCTGATCTCGCTTGTGAAGGAGCTGCTGGGAAGCTGGTTCCTGGAGGCGATGGGAGTGGCTGGGGACGTGAGGATGCAGAAGGCTCAGAAGCAGGCGGGGAGGGCAGGGCGCTACGGGGAGGGGAGGAGGTCCACCTGGGCCTCCTTAGACCCGGCACACGGGTGCCTGAGCTTCCACGGTCCCTGGCACCAGGACGGGGCCCCACCACCCCGCCTCTGCCCCAGCCCGGCGATGGGTGGGTCCCTTGGGTCCCGGCAACTGCCACTGTCATGGTCCCCAAGCTGAGTGTGCTCATGGTGTTGGTGTGTGGCCTTCGTCCCGAGCCCGGACAGGAACTGCGGGAGTTCGGGCCTTCTCGGGCATGGGAGGAGGGCAAGCCCACCTGGCTCATGGCTGTGAGCCGCCACTGGCCAGCCTCAGGTGGCACAGACAGTGAGTCCCTTGAGGGACCGGGCATTTGGTAAAACTCAGCTCTGCTCCCGGTGAGCATTCTCTTACCCAAACGGCTGCGCCCCAAAGAGGCCGCTCTGCAGCCCCCACTTGTCAGCTGAACACTGAGAGGAAAGAGCTCTCACTCCGAGCGGGCAGGGCCCGGCCTGTGGTTCTTGCTCCCCGAGAGGCCAGCCCATGGGTGTCAGCCCCGTCCCTGCCTGGGCCTGCACATGACTGCCCCCTTCGTCCCGAGACAGGAACAGCAGGGAAAGACAGCGGCCTGCCAGACCCCGCTGAGGCCAGACACCGCTGGGGAAAGGTCCCTGCAGGTGGATCCCCTGGGCTTCTGGCTCTGCCAGGGCGTCCACTGGGTCCTGGTGGCATTGACACTCGCTCCAGGTGTGGCCCTGTGCATCCTGCTGACCCGGCCACACCGTCCAGGCCCCGCACAACCATCTTCGGTTCCTGTTTGGGTCCCGAGCTCATTGCGTCGGACGACAGCACTGGGTTCGCAGCCCAGGCTGTGCATCAGTGGACCCATCCTGGACGTGCAGGGGACTCTCCAGGCCCCATTTCACCCTCAGGCCACAGGGTGCTGGAGCGAGCCAGCGGACAATTAAAGGACAGGCCCAGGCAGCCGACGAGGGGGACAAGAGGACCCCCACCGGACCGCACATCTTGGGCAGCCGTCTGAGTCTCATGTGACTGCGCGGCGACGGGCACTTCTCACTGACCGCACCATCCACCCTGCCATTGGCCGGCACCCTTCCTTCCAGGCACTGACGCCGCGGCCTCCGTGGGAGACCCTGCAAGGGCCTTCTGCCCCTCTGCCCGTTTCTTAAGACTCAAACAGATGGGAAACTAAGACGGCTATTAAGCGGCTATGTGAACCCATTTGAGAATAGTTTAGAAATTCAGGATTTGGTGCTGATCAATTCTGGAACAGGACGGATTCACATAGAAATGTGTTTCTGCTAAATGCTCCGTCCTTGGGTGACGGAAGTTCGAGATGAAGAGAGCAAGCAGTTCTCTTAGTAATGTGGAGCTTGACGACCGAAGGGGACACACTGATGACAGCACTAGGCCTGGCGCTGGGGGAGGCCGGGAGGGGACACTCACGGGCTGTATCCAGACTTGCTCCTGGAAGCTCCTCCTCCTCCTAAACAAACAGACCAAACCCACGCAGGACGAAACACTCCGGAGCTGCCTTTCCGAGCAGCAGCACTGAGTGGCTGGTGAGCCTGGGTCAAGCGGGGCTGACAGGGGGGCCTGGTGGGAGGCCCCAGGGCAGGGGCCCATGACGAAGGCCTCACTGGGAGCCCTGTGACCCTGCCGGTCCATTTCATGTCCTGACATCACAGACTCTGTGTGTCTAGGGGACCCCACGAGCCCCGTGGGACTGTGTTTTTTCCGTGTGCCCTGGCCGTCAGGACTCTGCCCAGCCCTGGTGCCATGGGCTCAGCCTTGAGTCACTGGCCAGAGCTGGTCATCTGAGCTGCTTCCTGGCACAGGTGAGGACGACGCAGGCGGAGTTCTCCGAGGTAGACCCGGTGCGCTCAGCGGCATCTCTCCCTGCCATGGTCATGATGAGATGCACAGTTGGGGTCCGCCCACCAGGCTGGCCCCATTGGCATGCTGGGAGTGACCTTGATCCTGGACTTGGTCCACTGATGCCTCTGACTGCTTGCCTGGTCACTGTCCCAGCCCCTCAAAGTCCCAGCCATTCGGCTCTGTGATGGACAGCCTGTGTCTCACTCACGTCCCAAGAAACCGAGGAGTGGAGTCGGGTCGTCCGGCTGCAGGCGGAACCCCTGTGTGTGCTTTCAGCTACAAAGGCTCTCCCAGCAGGCGGGCCTCAGGGCCAAGTGTCCCCACAGCTGACGTGGGGCTTGGTGGAGCACTGCAGCCTCTCAGGGGAGTCAAGGATGCAGGCCCCCAGCCACTATGCCCCGACACACACCTGCAGGCCCAGCCCAGGTGCCACTGGCCTCCCCTCAGCCTCTCCCCAACCCCTGGGTCCTAAAACTGCAGGAGCCCTTGCTCAGGGTTCCCTCATGGGGAGATGATCCCCGACGCCCACGTCAGTCAGACATGCTATTCCACACTGTTCCATGCAGGGAAACGGAACAGGGGGAGGTGGCGCTTCCCTCCACTTCTAGCCTGTGGCTCACACTGTCACAGGAAGCGCTGAAGACCCACCCTTCCCTCCATTTCTGCTCTGGCTCTTGGGCTCCTCCGACCCCCTGACAGCTCAGCTCTCTCTGCAGCTCAGCTGAGCTCCTGGCAGCCCCCACAGGCCCCGCGCTAGTGGGGGTTATGACAGTCTTTCAGGTCTCGGGACATGAATGACAGCTCACACCCTCATCCCACAGTTCCTGAAGCATCTGGTGCCCCCTTGCCTCCGTGGACAGTCCCCTTGGCTAAAGCCTGCGCACCTCTGGGGGAAGGGCTGGGGTCCCTACCCGTGTGCTCCTGTTGTGGTGAGTTCCTTTCTTGCGGGGACCCAGCACCCCCAGCCCATGAGTCCCAGGTCTGAAAACTGGCTGAGGTCCTGAACCCGGGTGAGGGGCTGCGACTTTTTCTTGGGGTGACTGCACTCAGCCTCCCATTTACCGTCTAGACCTCCTCTGCTGGGGCAAACCGCGGCACGAATGGGGAGCTGGGAATGGGGAGCCGGGAACGGTGGACAGTGCTCTGGTGGCTGACCATCCGCTTTGCCCTCAGGGTCGCCATGTTCTACCGTCCCTCTCGGTGGCTCTCTGTGGGGTAGGTCCCTGGACCGCCACCCTGACGCGGGTGGATGGGATAGTTACCGCCCCGGACTCTGGCTGCAAAGCGCTGCCCTCTGTGAGCCAGTGCCGCCACCGGGAGCTCGCGGACACAGCGGCCATGGTGGTGGGAGGGAGGCTGCGCGGGGGTCCAGGAGCAGGACGCCCCCACCAAGGCTGCTGCTGCTGCTGCTGCTGCTGAGACCCCCACATCTTGGCACCGAGATTGGAGCCGCCCGCAGAGCGCCGTCCTGCACGGAGGCCACCAGCCGCCCGTGGGGAGGGTTTGTGCCAGTCCCGCCTTGGGGGGCGGTCTTGGTCCTGCTGGGATTGCTGCCTGTGCCAGGTGCGGGTTTGCTTTTTTGCCCCAAGGGCCTCGATCGGCACCTTTCTCTGAGAATCACAGAGCGATGTGCTGCCAGGAATCTCCTGTGATATCACCTCAGACAAAGGGACAAACTCCACACCCACAGACCTGAGTGTCCCAGGGCTGCTGGAAGGAACTCCGTGCATTTGCCCTACTCACAACAAAAGAAGCTCGTGTGCTCACAGCTCTGGAGCTGGAGCTCCAAAAATCAGGGCGCCAGGAGGCCGGGCTCTCTGAGGGCCCGGGGACGCTCCTCAGCGGCTCCTTCCAGCCCCCGGGGGTGCCGGCGCGCCTCGGCGCTCCTCGCTTTGCGGCAGCATCACCCCACTCTGTGCCCCATGTTCACATGGTCTCCCCTCTCTGCATGTCTCTGTGTCCCAACTTCCCTCTTCTTACAAGGACACAGTCATACTGGATTTGGGGCCCACCCTAATCCAGTCCGACCTCATCTTAACCTGATTCCATGTGCACGGCCCTATCCACAAATAATGTCACAGTCACAGGTTCCGGGGGTGGGATTGAGCACGTCCTTCTGGGGACATAGTTCACCCCAGAACACGAGGAATGATGTTGGGCACACGGACAAGGAGTCCACTGTTCACATCGCACCCTCCTCGCTTGGCAGCTGTGGAGACCGAGCACGACCCTCAAAGGGAAGCCCAGACACTGGAGTGCGGATGGCCCTGAGCAGGTGTGGCTGGTTCCCGTCAAAGTGGCTGCCGCGTGACACTGTGATCCTAAGACCAGCGTGTGGGCCCAGGAACGAGCGCTCCCCTCACCCCATTTCCAGAGCCCTGTTCTCCATAACGTTACCGTCTGCTGCAACAGAAGGCCTGGCGCAGGATGGGGGGTCCCCGGGGGCCCGGGAAGGGTTCTACTACACGGAAATCTGTGCTGCCCTCTGGATGTTGTGGGGTCCTCCTGCCAGTAGAACAGCCAGCAGAAGAAGCGCTTTGTTGACAGGGCTGATTGACGACCTGGGGTTGCCTCTGAATCCTGGTGAAGAGAGGAAATCCGTAGGAAGATGGGGCGGTAACCGGGCTCTCCTCGGTGCCCCGTGCCTGCTGATAGCCTGGCAGGTGGGCGATGCTGGCCGCCACAGGCAGACAAAGGCACCCTGGGGGCAGGCCCAGAGCCCTCATGAAGGGTTGCATTACTCCTGGCAAAGCATGTCGGGGGAGTCATGAGGGCACCCTCCCCTCCGCCTCCAAGACAGACCCGCCCTGCTGCCCCTTCAGGGCCCACTTCCCCCTCCAAGCCAAGGCCAGCCTCTGAGCCAGCAACCCTGAGACAGGAAGGAGCACGAGCGAGCGGGCTTTATGCACGGAGCGGAAAGGTGATGACGTTTGGAAATAAATCAACGTAACTCACCGTATTAAAAGACCAAAACGAGGGAAAAACTGTGCGTTCATCTCAATAGACACAGAAAAGCCATTTGACAAATTTCGGCTCAATTCACGATCAAACTAGTACTGGAAAGGAACTCCCTCACCTGGGGAAGGGGCTGTGGGAAACCCAGGGCTGGTGTGGATCTGAAGGCGAGAAACTGCAGCTCCCCGCCAGGGGGAGTCGGCGGCTCCACGACGTCTGCTCCTTTCACCAGAGGACTTGGCCAGTCAAATAAGGCAAAGAAAAAAGAACAGGTTTTCAGGGTGGACAGCAAGAAGCAAAACCGTCCTTATTGTGCAGGCCTCGTCATCTACGCGGAGAGTCCAGGGATCTTCACGCAGTTCCTAGGATGCACAGAGGACGAGATTGATAGAAACATTGATTGGATTGCTAGAGTCTAGCAACAAATAACTCAAGACTGAAACTTAAAATTCCATGAGACGACCCCAAAAGTGCAATCTATTAAAGGAAAAATGGACCAAAAAAAAAAAAAAACAAGGGAAGAAAAATTGGGCTTCGTTAAAATGAGAAACTTTGCTCTGTGGAAGCCCATGTGAAGGGGATGAGAAGGCGAGATGCAGACTGGAAGAAAATGTTTGCAAACCACACGCCTGGCAAAGGACTTGTGCCCAGAATGCGGAGGGAACTCTCGGAACCCAACAGTGAAAAACAGACAAATAAACAGTCTCCTTAGAAAACAGGCGAAAGACCTGGCCCTGAGGAGGGTCTGCCGAGCAAGTGCGCCTGGGAGCGTGGTCGGCGCCATCGCCAGGGAGATGAGCACCGAACCACAAGGAGCCATCACCACACAGCGGGCAGAGGAGACAACGTGAAGTTAACCATGGCGCAGCGGTTAAGTGCGCACGTTCCAATTCTCAGCGGCCCAGGGTTCGCCAGTTTGGATCCCGGGTGCGGACATGGCACCGCTTGGCAAAAGCCATGCTGTGGTAGGCGTCCCACGTATAAAATAGAGGAAGATGGGCATGGATGTTAGCTCAGGGCCAGTCTTCCTCAGCAAAAAGAGGATTGGCAGTAGTTAGCTCAGGGCTAATCTTCCTTAAAAAAAGAAAGAAAGAAAGAAAGCAGGTCTTCAAGTCCTCAGTGGATTGGTCACAAACAGAACGTAAACTCTAGGAAGAAAGAGAAGCAGAAATGATAACGACTGTGATAAAAACGAAAGAATACCTATGGTCTAAAGCAACAACTCCAACATCTTGTGGGTTTATGACATACATGCAGGTAAACGTTGAGACAACAAAGTGCAATGGGGCGGAGGTGGTGAAGCTTTGCCGTGCCAGGTGCCTGAATGGCTCAGGACGGGCAAGAGCACTAACGCGAGGTGGATTATGGCAAGTCAAGGACTCAGACTGTCATCTCCGACCACCACCGTAGGAAATACACCTATAACGGAGAAAAGGAAATATGAAAAATGTTTCATAAGTCCAAAAGAGTGCAGAAAGAAAGTGAAAAGACAGTTGGGAAAAGTGAAAGCAAAGAGCAGAGTGGGGGACCTCACCTGCATGGCTGTTGTGTCTGCCCACCAGTATCCAGTGTGCTGGCTGGCCCGGCCCCTGTGGTTCTTATTATGACCGTGAGACACCCTTCAGCAGTAGCCATTGGGAAACCTTGAAGAAATAAAGATTTGTTACCTACAGCACCTGGAAAGTACACAGCCCGCCTGGGGCCACACAGCGATGTCGTGGGGAGAGAGAGTGAGCAAGCGCGGGTCTGAGGTGCTGCTTTTATTGGGGTCGAGGGTGGGGGCCTAGGGTTTTGTGGGCTCACTCTTTGTTGGTGAATCTAAAATATAAGAGTGGGCATTTAAAGCTCAGGAAGAGAAAACAGAAGAGGCCCCGAAAGTCAGTTCTAGAAACCAACCAGGATCTCTGAAACGAAGATGCCTTGTTGGGGGGTGGGCACGGGCTGGCTGTTTATCCCGTCCAGCAGCTGACAACGTGTTTTCTGACACAGCTGTCACCAAAGTGGGCGCCTCCGCAATCAGCGCTGATGCCAGGCGCTTGCGTCACTCACAGACATGCCACGTGGCAGGGCTGCACTACATTACCCCAAATATATTAGTTCTCACACGAAAGGTAAATGACCTAACTTTCCAACATAACGGGAAAAATCTTCAGATAAAAATAACAATAAACCGGTTACAACCCTCATTGTGAAATGAGGATACAGAATAGCTGGAAGGAAAATAATGGAGAGAGATGTGATGCTGAACCTCTTAATCTCAAGTTCGTGGGCCTGACGCCCAGCAAGCCAAACTCTGAGACGTCCATGCTTGGAGACGGAGAAAGGTTTATTCGAATTGCCCAAAACGGGTAGGTGGGAGCCTGGGTTCGCTCAAATCTGCCTCCCCGAGAACAGAAAGCAGGGTGTTTATGGAGCTAAGGGGCTTGGCAGGAGGAGCTTCGGGGAAACAGAGGGGCCGCTCCCCATAAGCCCCTGGGCGATCTGACCTGTGGGCTCCAGGGGCTGCTGAGGGCCGGTGAGCGCAACCTCCCAAAGGCATTCTCTTCCTTCTGCAAAACAAGCTCACAACCCTGGAGACCTGAGCCACCCCTCGAGTTAGACAAGGAAACAGCAAATTGCTGATTGAACATCTGTGTACCCCTCAGGCACCCGGCCTCAGACGCACCGTGCTGATGGTAAGCTAAAGAAATCTTGTTTCATGACATTAATGCTGAGGAAAGTACACGCTACAGTGAGAAATATTACTGAGATAAGAGACATTTTTAGAGTGATAAAGGGCCAGTCCAACAGAAAGATACGTCAACCCCACACTTGTACACATCTCACAGCAGCTTTGAAACATCTAAGCAAAATTCGCCAGAAGTAAATGTTGAAGCAAAGTCACAATCACACTTAGCGAGTTAATATAAGTCTTTAAGTGACGGATAGAACAAGCAGACAGGAAGTCAACTAGAATGCATGAATTTGTTAATAAAAATTAACATTGTGGACATGTATAGAACATTCCACCAAACACCTGCAGAATCCACATTCCTCTAAGCACGTGTATAACATTCACCAAATACGTCCTGTGTTCAACCGTGCAGTTAATCAAGAGAAATAAATAAAATGTATGAAGGTTGGAAAGGAAGAAATGCAAACCAGAACGGCTGATGCTAAAAGGACTGAAAACACCAAGTGCTGTTCCCACACGAAGGGCGCCATCTGCTCGCTGAGAGACAAAAGCCAATGTCAACAGGCAAGATGGCGGCAGAGAAAGGGCATTTTATTACAGCTCTCTAGCAAGGGGGAAGAGGGCCAACAAATGTCTGAAAGAACCATCTTAAGGGGGGCACAGAACCTTGACACAGTTCTATGGGCCAGTGGGTCACAGGGGAGGGGGTTTGGAATGTTGACCCTCTAGTGTCACCGACTGGGAGTGGCCACCCCAGATAGACTCTGTCAGGGGCCATCACATTCCCAAGGAACTCAAAAGAACAACGTTATCATCTTATCGCAGCTGGGAGGTACACACACAAGCAGGGGCCATAAAGTCTACAGAGCAGGTGGGCCTCCTGGGGTGCCCATCCAGCTGGGTGGGTTAGTCAGGGGTCGTTCGAAGTTACAGTATGGTTTCTTTCTACAACATGGCTTCCCTTATGTCAATGCTGTGTGGAGCTGGTATCAGCATTGTCAAGAATGCGGGGCAGCCGGAGCACCCACAGGTTGTCAGCATGAGTATAAATGGGAACAACTAGTTACAAACAAGTTTGGCAGCGCCTATTGAAATTAATGATCTGTGGGCCCTGTGACCCAGCAATCCCACTCCCAGGTATGTGCCGAAGAGAAGTGAGTCCCCACAATGAATGGCCGGGAACGTCCACAGTGACTTATTCCCGAGAGGCGGGCCTGTGCCCCGCTGGATGTCCACTCAGAGAAGCAGGGGCAGGTGCGTGCTGGCAGAGCCGCACAGAGGGTGCCACGGGGACACGAGAGAGTGCTCCTGCTGCTGTGCTCACAGCATGGGACCCTCACACGCCTAATGCTGAGTTAAAAAGCCAGAAGTGGCAGAATTCATGCCTTGCAGCTTTAGAACTCGGGCTCTTCAAGGCCAGCAGAGGGAGAGTCCACTGTTGGCGAGGGCTTTTAAAGGACTCAGCCGCCCAGGAGGGGCCCCCAAGGACACTTCCCTTCGGATTAACATGCAGCCAGTGGATCAGCTGCAGCTGGAAAGTCCCTTCACCTTCTCCTGCTCCTGGGGCTCAGAGCAGGTCCAGATCTCGCTCACACCTGACAAGAGGTTTCTACATATTGAAGTATATGGGTAACTATTCGGGTTGAAAACTGATTCGGCTTGAACTAAAAAGCCTGATTTACGGCCTATCAAACATACAGTGTAGGGGCTGGCTCAGTGGGTAGTGGTCAAATTCACAGGCTCCACTTTGCCAGCCCAGGGTTTGTGGGTTCAGATCCTGGGCATGCACCTACACCCCGCTCATCAAGCCATGCTGTGTGGCGTCCCCTGTACAAAATAGGGGAAAATTGGCACAGATATTAATTCAGCGACGAGCTTCCTCAAGCAAAAAGAAGAAGATTGGCAACAGATGTTAGCCTGGGGGCCAATCTTCCTCACCAAAAAACATTGTACATCTGCTTTAATCATTAAAGCAAAGAACGCGCTCTCTTAAAATAGAACGCGTGCTTAATGCCTAGGCCCCTCCTCAGCCCTATCGGGACGCCCAGATTAGTCCCTTTCCAGACACCAGGGTCACGGTGAACTGCTAATTTGCACCTAAATGCCTCTTTGAAACTGGTGCAAATGTATCCTGGGGGTGTTTAATGTATGTTCTTTCTTCTAAAAAGACACAAGTCTGTACTGAACACCATGCTTCTCGGGAGCCTTTCGAGGGACTTCCTTCACAGTCCTTGCTCTGGCTCAATTAAAACTCACCTCATTTCTGTGTCTATAGAATGCTTACTGGATACTTTGCATCTACACACCCAAATGGAGGCAATCACACAGAGTCAGGCGTGACCATGGAGGCCGGTGCAGAATTGTGACGACCAGATGCATCCCAGCTCCCTGGGCTAAGAGGGACAATACAGCTAGAGGGGCTGGGGCCACTGGCAGGTTTCTGGGAAATGATAACTGTCGATGAAAATAATCCATAGCCAACCTATAAATCAAAATTTGGGTTTATTCTGAGCTAAAATCTGAGGACCATGGCCCGGGGCCTTTCTTCCTGACGGAAGAAAGGGCACCAAAGAAGTGAGGTGTACAGAGGGGTTATATACCCCCATACAGGACGTTTCACATATGATTGAAATGTCCCTCCCACAATAGTCACGAGATTGCCCTGTCTGCACAGCGCTTGATGAACACAGCAGGCAGTGGGTCTGCTATCTCGGTGGGCGTAGCAGGAGGCAAGTCTATTGTCTCAAGCTGGGTGTTCACAGGTGAGCACAGCAATCAGTTCCTAGCCTAAGGAAAGATGCTTAATCCTTAAGGAAAAGCCAACGTTGGGAGGGGGAGGGAAGTTGCACCTTTATCTCAAGGGCCTTTTCTCTTGCCATAGGGAATGTCTAAAGCAGATATACAATGCATGCTCAATGGCCATGGTCAGGCCCTTTGGAAAGACAAGGTCAGACCGATTTAGATTTACACCAAATGGCTTCCTCATATACTCCGATATATCCTATTACTTGCCATTTTTATTTGTCATAACATTAGATCCATACTTCATACCGCACACAAGGATAAACTCCAGATGGGTTAGGGGCGTGACCTAAAATCATGGAACTCCGCAAGCGCTAGAAAGAATCATGGGCACATTAACTGGGAAAGACTTTCTAATGGCTCAAAATCCACAGACACAAAAGATGGATGAAACTGATGACATTACAATAAAACCTTTTGAATGCCAAAATTCGCCACAAGCAGAATCAGGAACCACTGACAAACTGAGACAAGATTTGCTTCGAGGATTATGGCAAAAGTGATGTGGGCTTGGGGAGCTGAAGAGTCGAAAAAAAGATTCCTTGAACTCTCAAGGTCTGGTGGTAGCGCTCTTTTATTCAGAGAATAGCGTGGGGACACACGGGCAGTGGGAGCTGCAGTGGGTTGAGGGTAGAGCTAAATTTACAAGGCATAGATATGTGAGTTATTTCTTTACAAGACAAGGGGAAGATCATGGTAAAAAGTCATTACAATAGTGCCAGTGCAGGTGGGGTCTGGTTAGTGGGTGGTCGTATAACTTTGGATACGAATCAGGTCAGGAGGTCCTATGCCTCCTGGAGGGTGGTACAGATCCATATGTAGGCCAGGACGCCTTGGGCTTCTCTCCCTGGGGCAGCCTTGATCCTCATCAAAAGGACAGACATCCCCAAGCACACAAAGAAGTCTTGACAGTGGGAGGGAGGTGTGACATCAGCCAAGGGGTGGAGCAGGGACTCCTGGGGCCTCTCCTCCATAGAAACACAGAAAAAACTGGTAAAACACAGTCAGACACAACGATACTGGAACTCAGAAAAATAGTCAAAGGTTTCCAGCAACCAAGCGAAGGGTTAGGCAAGGACAAGGCGTCTGCACGGGGAGGAGAGGCTTGTGGTGTTTTCCAGGGTCCATCTCCCTGTCACCCCCCTTTAGCGGTGGCCTGGAGGACA